TGTTGAATGAAAAGTAGAGCCAGAAAAACGTGAACCTCCCCAGGAGTATAGGAGAGCAGTTGCTTGAACTAGCGGGCTGTAAGCCAACTGACTGTTATAAAATGTGGGCTAGTATGAGCAGCGCGAGCTGGCTTAAATTACACAATAATAAGAAAAACCACAAACGTTCGTAGCAAGTCCTAGCCCACAGCCCCATATACGTACATGTGGAAAATTCAACGCCACTATCCGGCGCTGCATTAGTCCGTCAGTCAGCTTACCTAGCATCTTAGCCGCTCTGTTTAGCCACGTTCCTCAAAACAAAGTCCTTCGCCTCCCCCGGGTCTGTGAAACTGTCGCTTTCCATCGGCCGTTGTGATCCGCAAAAACCGAGGGATACCACAGTCCGTACTTGACACCATCACAGCCTCTTAGCATGCCTTTCACATCCCTGAAGGAGGCTCTCTGCTTCGCGACTGCTTGGGTATAGTCGGGGAATACTCTGATCCTGTCTCCGTGTGACGTTGTCGGATCTGTGGCCGTGGCTGCCTTGCGGAGGGTCGCTTCCTTCTTCTCCCGGTAATAGTGAAATCTCACCACAAATGCGCGGGGTGGCTGGTCCTCCTGGGGCCGTTCCCGTAGGGGTGCGATGGCATATGCAGGGTGTCCGCGGGGTCTTAAAAAGTATTAAAAGTTGATAAAATCAATTTAGCGAAAATTAAGGCTATTAAAAAGTATTAAACGGCATTTTCCAAGGTATTAAGAAGGTCCACAGCAACGACAACATGGAAACACCCTTTAATTTACTGAAACAACATGTCGGGAAACCCCCTCAAGGTGGCCCCATGCATAGCGTGCCATAAAATGCTGCTTCTTATTTAAGTTTCGTTGCCTTGCTCCGCTCTGTGGGGTTATCTGCTGGTGGACTACCTGAGAGATATACAGCAGGAGAACACGCCGTCCACCGCGGAGATAAACAGAAGGGCAACCATGACAACCTTCTTCGCTGCTTTTGGTGTATTTTGTGGCGGCAGCAGCGCCACTTACAGGCCTGGCATATGTACTACAGCATTTCCAGCGTTTCCAGCGGTCTAGTGTGAACGGACACGTTAATGAATCGAATGCGTGTGAACGGAAGACTTTTTGCGTTTGCGTATGCGTTTTACTTAGACCCCTCGTGGGGCCGGGGTCTAAGCCAAACTATATCCGGTCACAGAGATCTGCTATTTTAAAGTAAGGTACATATCGACCCTAAATATAGTCTATATTAAGAACGAGAAAAGTCTTAACATATATATCGTTTTTTGTAAACATATGACAAATGTGTGCGGGTGATGACGTCAGAGCATCTTAGCCCCGGACAGCCCTGGCCCAATTGAACCCCTGGGTATTTGTGAGGGAGCTCCTACAGTATATGGCATTACCCCCCGCTGAAGCTCACCAAAGTTTAATATATTTCATAGTTCAAAGTTTTGTCAATTGTTTTGTTTATTGGTCAAATACTGGTTTCTAATGGTTTCTGAGGAGTTCTACTGGAATGAAAGAGCACAGAGTCCAGAAGCAACAAAGCAGCATACTGCATTAAACCTGACCTTCACAGAGAGGTTGAAGTTCATGTGGAGAGGAGGCTTCAGTAGTCTGTCTGCACTCTGTTTAGTTGTGCTATCTTACAATCAATATAGTAAATGTGAGGTAAAGTGTGTCGCCAATGTAACCGGTTAGAACTCGAAGTTGCGATGAGCTCTTAAAATGTATGGAAAGGGTCTTAACAAAGGTCTTAAAAGGTATTCAATTTGACTTCAGGATTCCAGCATATACCCTGATATGTCTAGTAGTGGCTCTTTTTCTAAGCCCAGCGTTTCCTGGAGTAGTTTAGCTACAAAGCCAGTTGGGTTCTTCCCTGCCTCCCGTTTTTCTTGTATCCCGGTGATGCGGAGGTTGCACCTCCTAGACCGCGCCTCCAGGTCCTCACTCCTGTCAGAGAAGATTTTCATGTCCTTTTTTAGCTGCTGCACGTCTCGTTGGAGAGTGGTAATGAGATCCGAGTGATCATTAGCGGCAGTATCCAGGCTCTTGACCCGGTCCTCCAAAGACTTAGTGCGGCTGCTGACGCGGTCAACGGCGGATCTCAGCTCGTCCCTCAGTTGGCTTATTTCACGTCGTAGTTCTTTAGACTGCATCTCGGCGTTGTCATCAATTTTCTTCAGCAGGTCCTCTCTGAGAGATTGAATGGCCCGTAGAATGGCGGTCTCATCACCTCGTGCTGCGCTAGCAGCTAGGGGCCCTGCCCCAGCACCTTTAGCCGGGCTAGCACTATTAGCTTTCGGATCTGGCGCAGCAGACGCCTTTTTGCAAGAGGAAGACGACATATTTCAAATGAAACTGTTGGGCGGAGGCAAGGAAGAACAGCTTAGATTAAAGTTGCTTGAATATAGTGTAGAGCAGGGGTAGGCAAGTAAGTTTGGCCGTGGGCCAATTTTTTGCTGAGCCGCAAGATGGCGGGCCAGAACATAATCAAAACCTAATTCAAGGAATTGATTTTGGTAAGAGGGCGCAGCGCCCCTGTTCCCCGGTTCAGAAAAAACTCTATCGCTGATGACCCTCCCCATCAACACTCTGATGCGCAGTCAGATCCGCTGATTGGTTCACTGATGATATAGGCGCCCAATCCAGAGCCCCATTTCAGTCCCAAAGCCAGGGCTATTATCTGTATTTTAACAGACTTATCTTTTAAATTGAGGTGTATTTATTGTTCTCTTCAAAGTTTATTTTTCTCTGAAATTGTAGGGAGGATGGTTCTCCCTTTCCTCAATGGACGAGCCTCCACTGAGTAAAGTAGAGTTATTAACTAGCAGTGTTATTTAACATACTTTTATTCTGATAAGTATTGTCAAGTTCTCTGGGTTTTTGGCATTTATTTGAGTGTTTGCCCACATTTGAGAGGCTTGAGGGACAACTGGAATCCTTTTTCCTTTTCTTTATTTCAACTTTTCAAGGACACATTAGGATTCTTTCAGGTTGAAAACCTTTAAAAAATACCAAAGGACAAAATAAATCAATTACAGCATGTTTTGCTTTGCAATTTCATATATTATAACCAATTAATCAGTAACCAAGTATTTTACTCAAACTCAATGTATTTAATAGTTAAATAAGTACTTTAATTGACCTGGTTCCCCCCAATTTGCCATATGTGACCCGCTCTATCAAAATCAGTCGAAAGTCGCAACGGCTCATTTCAAAATAAACGTGGATTTGCGTAAAAAACTAGTTTTTCGGGGATCGGGTGTTTTGTTTGATTTTAAATAAACAAAGTCTTGGCTTTCAGAATATGACATTTTTATTTCCAAAATCACACGATAAATACATGTTTGAAGCTTGTAAAGGGAAGATGACAGCTCTCCCTCCACTCTGCTCTTCCACAGCGCCGCTTCCCCTCCCTCCGCTGACATTATGAATGTAAGCGGATATTTCGGGACAGAATTTATTTTACCGGACAAATTTGAAACTTACCGGTCATGTTTCAATAATAATAATAAGAGTTGTGTAGCAGAGTTTCCGTTAGCAGGTAATCACCGGACTAGGACCGGATATGCTGATGTTTAAAACTCAGTTAATGGGGCTCATTTTTATATTGCTTCAGTTTATAATCGTTACAGATCGAAAAGTTCAGATTCATTTTTCAATAAATGATTCCACAAACAACATAATTATTACATTCAAACAAACTACTTGTAGTAGATGAAGTACATTATTCAAAAGTTTACATTAACTTTGAATAATAACACGGGAGAAACGGATGCTCTCTTTTCCTCTCTCCCTCTCCCTCCCTCTCTCTCCCTCTCTCTCCTGACAGCCCGTCAGTTTCTCATGCAGCTCCTGCAGCTCGCTAAACAGTGGGCGGGGCTTCAGGTGATTATGCAGAGCTGCTTGTCTCGGTCTGACTCAGCAGCTGATCTGATCTCTCTCTCGGGTCCGGTTACACTTCACTCGCGTTTATGTCCATATCGAACAGATCCAGCTCTCCTGATCGGCCTTTATAGAGAGCACCGATCAAACTATTAAGAGTGAATATCGGCCGATAATGATCTGCGGCCGATCAATCAGCGGCTTTTATGTTGTAAAAAAAAAAAAAAATCTCAAAATAATTAGTGATTTTCAAAATTACGGGCCAAATATTATTGCTGGCGCCTCGGCGTCGCCTCTTTGCCCTTATTTGGAGCAGGCGGGAGTTGAACTCTGACGTCACTGTCTAGCCGTTAGTGGCCGACTCCGCCTACTAAGGGCTTCTCTGCAACTCTGCAGAATCCTATGGGTGACGTCACGGACCCTACGTCCATTTATATATACAGTCTATGGTTGAACCCAATGGGAGCAAATTACACTGAATGCTGCGACGCAGCACCTGAGATTACTTCCAAAAAGTTGTTCACGTTCTCAATTTTTTACGTTTAACTTTATATTCGTTCGGTACACTTCAGTACACACGTGTACCGAACCAAAGGGCCCGTACCGAATAATTTCGATACGTATACCGTTACACCCCTACATATATATCATTATTATTATTATAAATACATACCTACTATTATTATTTATTACATTTCAGATTTTATTTTGTATACCCCTGGAAATAATTACTGCACTTTATTCCTTATTCCTACATAAGTATGTATGCTGCGTGTCTTATGTTGTGATGTTTTTTGTTTTGATGGCACATTTTAAAAGGGAGAAGCATTTAGTTCTCTCATTGTACATGTATAATGACATTAAATGATTCTATTCTATTCTTGTGTTTTAAATCTGAGTGAAAAGTCAAATAAATGCTTCCATAATGTAGTGGTATAGAGTAACAAAAAATGGAAATAGTCAACTAAAGGCAAAATATAGTAAATGTACTGAGTTACCTTCCACCTCTGGTTTGTAATGATGGGATACAGATGCAGTGTGCTCCAGTCTTTTCTCATTCTATTGATCTAAACATCTTCTCTAATTACATGCATCTGCATTTCTTCCTTCAGTCGCCAGATAACGATGAGGACAACAAGCCTAAGAAGGGGAAGAAAGAGCAACAGAAGGTAAGAAAGGAGCACTGATGTTAGCTTAGCACTTCCATCCAGTTTTCAGCATCGTCCAGGTAACCATCATGTGATTCATCTGTGTCCCTGTAGAAAGGAAGACCTGCTAAAGCATCACGCAGCGAAGGTGAAGAGGAAGAGGAGGAGGACAGTGACGAATGTGACACCATGAAGGTGTGTTTGTCCTCCATAATCTGTCTATTGTCCTCCTCTGCTCTGGATCAGTGCTAACGGTTCTGTCTCTCAGTGTGCAGAGGATGTGATCGCAGAGCAGGCCCAGCAGCAGGACGACGACCCGTTAGCTAACCTCAGCAAGAAGGAGAAGAAGAAGATAAAGAAACAGGTGATAACATGTGCTGATGATGCATTCATGTGTGCCTTACTCATCATGTTCACATTGACTCTGAAACTCATTGAGTGCTATACACTGTTGGGAAGAGGAGATTTCTGGCTTTCTTATATTTCTATTGTTTCTCAAACTATTACGTAATATACGTCACATGACTGTTGGTGAGCCATAATTTTCAGACAACGGAATTCAGAGTTTGCATACATTATTTTAGTGTTTATTCAGAATAATCTGAAGACTGAACCCTAAATCTAATTCATCTAGATTCACATGCACGCTTATTCTCACCAATCGTATAAAAACAAATTCAAAGTTTAACTTGTGCATTTCATATCATGTTTGAGCACATGCTTACGTGCACACCCAGAGCCATGTGAGCGCCTGTACTCACAAGAAGTTACATCTACGTTTTTCATAAATGTAACCTCTCTTTTTACTCTCAAAGTGCACCATGGATACATTTGTGTCATTACTATGATAACTAGCCAGACGTCCTTCCTGACCAATTCGAGCTGCGCAAGATCAGCATATGTAGCAAGGTGTTCAGAATAAAAGCACTTTAAAGAAAGAATGTGCAAAAAATAGAGATGATTATATAAACCTAATAAGCCAAAGTATAATGTAATAAAAGTCCCAGGGGAAAATTGGGTTTGTGACATTTGCTTTATTTAAGATCAAATGAATACAAAATGTAAAAACAAACATAATACATTCTAGTAACAATATGCAATAAGATATTTAAATAAATATGTTTGTATAAACATAATAATTCAAAGTAAAATGTTCAATAAAAAAGAAGATCAAAATCTTGGGGGGAAACATAAGAAGTTCAAGAGAAGTTGAAATCAAATGAATAACAAGATGTTTAAATCATAAGAATTAAAATAAATTAATAAAAGATAAAATAAGTTGGAATAACATTTTTCACATTGTATTAAAATATATATGTGTGTGTTTGTGTATTACTAAGTACACTTAATGGTGTATTAATAAAATGTATGGACTTTATAAGGGTTTGGTGGTAATGGTGAAGTCCTCCATTCATATGGTTACAGAGTCAAACAATTGGACGACTAGTCTCTTAAAGGTCACATGTCATGCTTTTCCGGTTAGTACCCGTCCCCTTGTGTGTTATGAAGGTTTTTATGCATGTAAACGGTGTGCAGAGTCAAAACCCTCAAAGTACACCATGTAGCGAGTAAAACTCTAACACAGAAAATACCTCCCCAAAACGCCTCGTTGGAGATACCTCACTGTCGATTTGATTCTTCCGGGTACATCATGATGTCATGTCGTCCCCGGAACAAAATGGACCAATCCGTGGAGCCGTTACGTTACGTCCGCGGAGCCGTTACGTTAAGCCCCCGCTGTTTGGTCCAAATTGACCAATCCACGGACTTCCTCACACACTCAGTGCAGGCAGCTCTGCTGATCTCTCCTCCCTGGCTGCAGGCTGATAACAGACAGTTGGGATCGCGGCGAAATTCTCTCTGCAGACCCATTCTCTCTGCAGACCCGTCTCTGCAGGTTCTGCAGACCCATTCTCTCTGCAGACCCGTTCTCTCTGCAGACCCGTTCTCTCTGCAGACCCGTTCTCTCTGCAGACCCGTTCTCTCTGCAGACCCGTTCTCTCTGCAGACCCGTTCTCTCTGCAGACCCGTTCTCTCTGCAGACCCGTTCTCTCTGCAGACCCGTTCTCTCTGCAGACCCGTTCTCTCTGCAGACCCGTTCTCTCTGCAGACCCGTTCTCTCTGCAGACCCATTCTCTCTGCAGACCCATTCTCTCTGCAGACCCATTCTCACAGCGTTTATCAACTCAACCTTTTTCTTACTCAATATCAAGCCACACTTATTGTTTTTACTTCGGCTGTGACTTTATGTGTGCTCAGGGTGAGTTTGGCTGTGTTTGGCTGTGTATCGCTAAACAAGGAAATCACACCTCCACGGAGCTCAGCGCGATTCACAACGTCCCGACTGGTCCCGACCAATCGGAGCACACTGGGCTCACAGGGAGGGGGGGGGGCAAGAGCTGCAACGAGCCGTTTAGTGGAGAGAGTGAATACACGTAGTTTACAGAGATGCTGTATGCGAAACAATGTGAGTTTGGAAAATTGCACAGTATAAATCTATTCTAGTATACCTCAACAATGGAATTATGATCAGTGGAAATGACCATGACATGTGACCTTTAATACAGTCCTGTCAACCATAGGTGTTCCAAATGTCACTTTAAAAGTAACATTTAAAATAGAAATAAACAAATGTTGCATCTTAATGTCTCCCGGGGGAGGAGGGATCCGGCCCATACTGTGCTTTATTCTTGTGTGTGTGTGTGTGTGTGTGTGTGTTGCAGCTGGAGTACGAGCGGCAGGTGGCCAGTATTCGCGCTCAGAATGCTTTGGAGGGAGATTTCTCCATCTCCCAGGCCGAGATTTCCTCCAGACAGGCCATGCTGGAGAATGCCTCTGATATCAAGGTTCATACTCACCATCCTCTTCTCTGTTCTCTTAAATTCTCTTCGCTTACTTTCCTACATGCAATGCAGAGACAGTTTTACTCTCTGTTAGTGATGATGTTTTGTGCCTTCAGCTGGAGAAGTTCAGCATCTCTGCTCACGGAAAGGAGCTCTTTGTTAACGCTGACCTTCTGATCGTGGCAGGAAGGAGATATGGTTTAGTCGGACCAAATGGGTAAATATCTTTTAGTTATTTTCAAAGAGACTTCTATTCCTTTTCTTTTTTAAAACAATGTTTTTATTAACATTTTATACAATAAGACACAGTTACACAGTGTACAGTTACAAACATACAGAAGTGCACTTCTCAAGGTCAAATTACACTGAGGTACAGGTGCAAACACAAATAAACTAAAACAAACACATTACCCTTCATACAAAGACACGTCTTACATACATTTAAAAATTGAATGACATTTCTAGCCACTTTGGTTCAATACAAGGCAGTTTCATGGTACATAGTCCGAACTCAAAATAATCATATTATGAGGTTTACACTCGTCAGTATTCAATTATCCTCATCATCTATTAGCTCCATACCTTCCACAAACAGATTAAATGGTTTCCAAATATTGTCAAAAAAGTCTTGCTTCCCTTTTAGTATATATGGCAGTGGTGCTAAGGCACGCAGGCCTAGCAAAATGTGAGCGCGGAGCGAGTGGAATTTTTTTGCGTGCGAAGTGCGCCCTGCCAATATGTTTCTGTGTCTGCCAGCACAAGAAAGGCTCTTGAGGCTCTACAGGTGTATTTTGCTAAATCACCTTTATTGAATATACAGTAACACAAATACTACACATCCACATAACAAACAATCACAATAAAATGTATGCAATTTAATTATTTTAACCTGCTTTATTTGGCGATGCGCCTCACATCCTCTAGGGGGGTCCGGGGGCATGCACCCCCGTTTAAATTCATCAATCTGCTGCACTTTGAGCACAAAATGAATTGGATACAGCTCTCAACACTCAGATGAAAGGGAGCTGTATACTTTTCAATGATCCAAACATCTTTAGAATATGATCACCACCAATAACATATCATTTAAACTGGTTTATTCTTATCTTATGTTACCTAGTTAGCATTATTTCTTTTTATTTATGCATATTTTACTAATCACTCCCCTTTTAAACTTTTTTTACCAATGACACATTGGAATGATTTCTTACTTTATTTTTTACAACTATATTAAATAGATAAAGGTGTGCTCGCTCTAGCTCTGTCTCGCTCGCTCACAGAGGCTGTGTGCTCCTCCGTGGCGATGACGGGAGCGCCACGTATTATTATTTTAATGTATTAAAAAAAAGAAAAGAAAAATGTTTTAATTAAAATTAGGGCCGGGACTTTAACGCATTAATTAAGATTAATTAATTACACAAAAATTAACGCGTTAAAAAAATTAACGCATTTTAATCGCACTTATTTTTGCACCGCGGAACGTTTCTCACTAGATGAGTTTCAGGCGTACCGATTATACTGGAGCACCAACTAACGTTCATGACTTCAGACAACAACAAACCACAGTGAACAACAGTGGGAAATGTTGTTTTAAAAAACGGACGGATGGAAGCGTCGATAAGAGCACGGTTGTGTGCAAATTATGCAAAAAGAAATTCGCATTTCACCGCAGCACATCAAACCTCAAGTATCATCTCAATGCAAAACATATAGCAGCTAGCGTGGAAGCTAGCGTGGACGTTAGCCTCTTTTATCGCGTTCACACCAAAAAGAGCCAGTACTAAAATTAGTTCATGAGAACCTTTTTACCCCCACGAAAGTCCCTGCTAGAGAGCAGAGAGCTGCTAGAGAGCAGGGACTTTCGTACGGCTCTCTTGTGAGAAAAGAGCTATATTTCTGATTGGCTGGGCGGAGTGCAAACCACGCCCCGTAAAACTCCCAAAAAGTTTTGTGAAGCCGCCATTTTATTATCCTCGCATTAGCATTATTAGCATTAGCCCAGCGCAGAAACGCAGAGAGACTAACTTATGGCAACACAAAATAAAACATGGGAGCGGTGGAGATGAGGAGGTGTCGGCGTTCTGGCGATTTACTCGGAAGGCTGCAGTAGAAGCTGCTGGGAGTCCCAGCAGCTTCTACTGAAGCCAGTCCCCAACTCCGGGGACTTCCGGCCGGGGACTTTGGGCGGCAGTATACGCCGTGAAGTGGTTTGCGGCCTGCCAGTAAACCCAAAGCAGAAGAAGAAGAAGTGACATCAGCGGCTTCATTTGCCTAATCCTCCCCCAGGTTCAAAGAGTTCTCATGAACTAAATTCTCATGAACCTTTGTGGGAAAAGTACTGCGGTGTGAATGCGCCTAATGGTATACTAAAATCCATGTGAATAAAATTGCTTCTCACTGTTCTTAGGTCAAATATTTATATGTGATTAAAAATGCGATTAATTTCGATTAATTAATTACAAAGCCTCTAATTAATTAGATTAATTTTTTTAATCGAGTCCCGGCCCTAATTAAAATATATATATATATATTTTTTTATACCTGGCTGGCACCCCGTAGCAGCATATAGGGGAAACACTGTATGTTATTCTTTCCAGAGGACCCAATATGTGTCGGGCATATATATATATATATATATATATATATATATATATATATATATATAGAACCACCAATAAAGGGTCAGGAAGGATAAAGGATCCCTGTTTGTTTTATACTAGGGCGGTCAAGTTAATGCGTTAATACCGCATTTAACGCAACGTTTTTTTAATGCCACTAATTATTTTAACGTGCGATTAACGCATGTGTATTTGTCCTCGGCCCGCCCCGTAGTTTCAGAGCCTAAAGGCTTGACGTTGTTGTTGTTAGTTGGATGGTGGCAGATTATAGCGAGAGAGATGGATACAAAAAAAGGTGTTTTAAACAGCAAGACAAGCACACAGCTGATGCTGACAGCCCCGCTCCTGCCGCTCGCTTGCGGCAGACCACGCTTGAAAGTTTGCCGGGGAGACGCCTGGACACGGCGTCTACGAGCAGCAACCTTTCAACAGCGATAGCAAAATGGGTGGCGGTGGCTACAGCTTGCAGGACAATTAACATTGTGGAGGACGAGGGACTGTGTGAGATCATTCGGATCGCATCCAACGTGTCGACTGCACATCACAGCGCATTATTTTGACGCACAGTGGGAACTTCAGTCTCATGCTTTGACTGTTATGAAGACAGAGGAGCGGCATTTAGCCGACAACTGTAAACAGGCTTGTCTGCTTGAGCAACTGGCTCAGTGCAAAGAAGTAGACAGGGTTGGGAGAGAGTGTAAGAGAGAGAGAGGTTCCAGGTTGTTGTATTGAAAATATTCAGGAGAATATTTGTCATTGTTTCAATGATAATAAACAAATATTTGCATAAAGCATATTTGTCCACTCATTTGTTGATAAGAGAATTAAAAACATGAAAAATATTCCTCTAAGTTACATTTAGAACCGATAAAAAATGTGCGATTAACTATGGACATCATGTGATTAATCACGATTAAATATTTTAATCGACTGACAGTCCTAATTTATAGATCTTCTGATTGGATCATTGTAACTTTTATTCTGGGCTGTTTACAGTCAAGGCTGGCTGGTTGATTATAAAAATAATAAATGTTTCATAAGATTTGTATAGGGCATTTCCCAATGCTCAAATATGCTTTATAAACAAATAAAGAATATAAGAACAAAATAAAGAAATAAATTACCTCTTTAGAAAGTCACAGAAAAGTATTTCTAAAACTCTCCCTACACCAAGGTTCACCAACCTTTTTTAGAATGAGAGCTACTTTCCAAAAATAAAACAAGTCATCATGAGCTACTTTTACTCCTCTTTTTTTGTTTTTTTGCAGTGTATATATTTAGCACATTTTAACATTATTATATGCTTACCTTTAACCTTTGAGTGCTGTTTGGGTCTGTGGGACCCGTTTTCAGTGTTTACTAAAAGAAAATGTATGCAATTTAATTATTTGAACCTGCTTTATTTACATCATGCATACTGTTTTTTTTGCATTTAACTGTAAGCAAATGTTGTTCAGCTAGTGTTGAACCTTGTCCAAAGCATTAGAGCATGGGTCGGCAACAGGCGGCCCGCGGGCCATTGTTGGCCCGCCAGCAATAATATTTGGCCCGTAATTTTGAGAATCAAAAATTATTTCGATTTTTTTTTTTTTTTTTTTTTTTTTTTTACAACATAGGACCGACAGTCGCACATGAGGGTTCCGTTAGCCAGTAATCACCGGTTTTTATCTGGTAAAATACATTAAAACCCGGTAAATTCAAAACCTGCTGGTCAAAATGTCTGGTAATAATTAGGGATGCTCCGATCGATCGGCCGCCGGTCATTATCGGCCGATATTCACTCTTAATAGTTTGATCGGTGCTCTCTATAAAGGCCGATCAGGAGAGCTGGATCTGTTCGATATGGACATAAACGCGAGTGAAGTGTAACCGGACCCGAGAGAGAGATCAGATCAGCTGCTGAGTCAGACCGAGACACGCAGCTCTGCATAATCACCTGAAGCCCCGCCCACTGTTTAGCGAGCTGCAGGAGCTGCATGAGAAACTGACGGGCTGTCAGGAGAGAGAGGGAGAGAGAGGGAGGGAGAGAGAGAGGGGAAAAGAGAGCATCCGTTTCTCCCGTGTTATTATTCAAAGTTAATGTAAACTTTTGAATAATGTACTTCATCTACTACAAGTAGTTTGTTTGAATGTAATAATTATGTTGTTTGTGGAATCATTTATTGAAAAATGAATCTGAACTTTTCGATCTGTAACGATTATAAACTGAAGCGATATAAAAATGAGCCCCATTAACTGAGTTTTAAACATCAGCATATCCGGTCCTAGTCCGGTGATTACCTGCTAACGGAAACTCTGCTACACAACTCTTATTATTATTATTGAAACATGACCGGTAAGTTTCAAATTACGGTAAAATAAATTCTGTCCCGACATATCCGCTTACATTCATAATGTCAGCGGAGGGAGGGAGGCGGCGCTGTGGAAGAGCAGAGTGGCGAGGGAGAGCTGTCATCTTCCCTTTACAAGCTTCAAACATGTATTTATCGTGTGATTTTGGAAATAAAAATGTCATATTCTGAAAGCCAAGACTTTGTTTATTTAAAATCAAACAAAACACCCGATCCCCGAAAAACTATTTTTTTACGCAAATCCACGTTTATTTTTAAATGAGCCGTTGCGACTTTCGACTGATTTCGATAGAGCGGGTCACATATGGCAAATAGGTGGTTGTGGGGAACCAGGTCAATTAAAGTACTTATTTAACTATTAAATACATTGAGTTTGAGTAAAATACTTGGTTACTGATTAATTGGTTATAATATATTAAATTGCAAAGCAAAACATGCTGTAATTGATTTATTTTGTCCTTTGGTATTTTTTAAAGGTTTTCAACCTGAAAGAATCCTAATGTGTCCTTGAAAAGTTGAAATAAAGAAAAGGAACAAGGATTCCAGTTGTCCCTCAAGCCTCTCAAATGTGGGCAAACACTCAAATAAATGCCAAAAACCCAGAGAACTTGACAATACTTATCAGAATAAAAGTATGTTAAATAACACTGCTAGTTAATAACTTTACTCAGTGGAGGCTCGTCCATTGAGGAAAGGGAGGACCATCAATTTCAGAGAAAAATAAACTTTGAAGAGAACAATAAATACACCTCAATTTAAAAGATAAGTCTGTTAAAATACAGATAATAGCCCTGGCTTTGGGACTGAAATGGGGCTAGAGAGGACGAGCCTCCCTTTGGGCGGGTCTAGCCAGAGGCTTTGGATTGGGTTCCTATATCATCAGTGAACCAATCAGCAGATCTGACTGCGCATCAGAGTGTTGATGGGGGTCATCAGCGATATCAGAGTTTTTTCTGAGCCGGGGAACAGGGGCGCTGCGCCCTCTTACCAAAATCAATTCCTTGAATTAGGCTTTGATTATGTTCTGGCCTGCCATCTTGCGGCCCAGCAAAAAATTGGCCCACGGCCAAACTTACTTGCCTACCCCTGCATTAGAGAGACAGGATGTGATTATTTCAGTGTTTTTTTTTCAGTATACAAAGATGACCGCATCATCGGCATACATTTGTACATTCAAATCAGGACATACATTAGGCAAGTCATTAATGTACAGAGAAAACAGTAATGGTCCAAGAATGGAACCTTGTGGAACCCCAACAGGGTTCACATGGTAGGGGTATTTGGCACCGTTGACCAAAACACACTGTTTTCTGTTTGATAAGTAAGACTCAACCCACTGTATTGAATCTGCCGAAAAATTGAAATGAGTCAGCTATGTAAGGAGCACTTGGTGCTCAACAGTGTCAAATGCCTTCCTGAGATCAAGGAAGACAGCACCTACATAAGGGCTCGTGTCCAACATACACTGAACAAAAATATAAATGCAACACTTTTGTTTTTGCTCCCATTTTTCACGAGATGAACTCAAAGATCTAAAACATTTTCTATATACACAAAATAACCATTTCTCTCAAATATTGTTCACAAATCTGAAAAAAATCTGTGATAGTGAGCACTTCTCCTTTGCCGAGACAATCCATCCCACCTCACAGGTGTGGCATATCAAGATGCTGATTAGACAGCATGATTATTGCACAGGTGTGCCTTAGGCTCATGGGCGCGGGAAGGGGGGTGCTGAGGGCGCTGCAGCACCCCCTAGCGGCAGGCAGGGGCACCCCTGTTTGAATTATTATTTGACGGTCACTAGAGAGGACGGCAGGACTGTAATTTCCCGTGTTCAGTGAATGCAACAGAAGACACCAGACCAATCAGAGAGTTGCATGGAAATAAAAGTGTGTGTGTGTGTGTGTGTGTGTGTGTGTGTGTGTGTGTGTGTGTGTGTGTGTGTGTGTGTGTGTGTGTGTGTGTGTGTGTGTGTGTGTGTGTGTGTGTGTGTGTGTGTGTGTGTGTGTGTGTGTGTGTGTGTGTGTGTGTGTGTGTGTGTGTGTGTGTGTGTGTGTGTGTGTGTGTGTGTGTGTGTGTGTGTGTGTGTGTGTGTGTCGCATTTAGTGTGAGGGAGAGAGAGGGACCGGTGCCAGCAGCAGGGACCGTGTTGTTAGCATCTGGTTAGCTAGCTGCACTAACGGACATACGGAGCTGTTGGTTCCACAACAAGCTGGAGGAGAGCTCTCCTCTCAGACTGAGAGGCTCAGGTGAGCTAAAGGACTCTGAGTGTTTAGATAGTTCACTTTAGTTGAAGTTATCTCAGTGGGTCTCAAACGGTTTGGTCACAAATTATTCAAAAGATTATTTCCGCGGCACACCTTCATATGATCATTATAGTTATAAAAAAATAAGAGAATAAAGGAAAAACAGTTATGAAATACTATATGGCAGTAAAACAAGAATACAGTTTGAAAGGGGAGTGATTTGTAAAATGTCCAAGAAATAGAACATCTGCTTACAGTTGTGTTTCATCTGGGTGTTGAGAGATGTATCCATAGATCTCTTAATGTTGCTCTTATAGTGCACCAGATTGATGCTTTTAACTTTAATATTTAAAAAAATTCTTCCCGGGGGAGCATCCCCCTCAAGGAGGTGAGGTCCGCTCCCCCCTCGTAAAAAATAGCACTTTACCCCTGCCTATATGCCGTGAGCTGATTATCGAGCCTTCATTGTAATAGTCGCGGGTGTACTGTGTGTTTGCGTGTGGGGAGTGCTTTTGTGCGTGCTCTATAGTGCCCGTAATAGTGTTCACTGGAGTCCAGCACCTCAGCACCCCCACTCAAAATACCTTCCCGCACCTCTGCTTAGGCTGGCCACAATAAAAGGCCACTCTAAAATGTTCAGTTTTGTCACACAGCACAATGCCACAGATTTCGCAAGTTTTGAGGGATCGTGCAATTGGCATGCTGACAGCAGGAATGTCCACCAGAGCTGTTGCCCGTTCATTTCTCTACCATAAGGCGTTTCAGAGAATTTGTTAGTATATCCAACCGGCCTCACAACCGCAGACCACGTGTAACCACACCAGCCCAGGACCTCCACATCCAGCATGTTCACCTCCAAGATCGTCTGAGACCAGCCACTCGGACAGCTGCTGCAACAATCGGTTTGCATAACCAAAGAATTTCTGCACAAACTGTCAGAAACCGTCTCAGGGAAGCTCATCTGCATGCTCGTCGTCCTCATCGGGGTCTCGACCTGACTCCGGTTCGTCGTCGTAACCGACTTGAGTGGGCAAATGCTCACATTCGATGGCGTCTGGCACGTTTGAGAGGTGTTCTCTTCACGGATGAATCCCGGTTTTCACTGTTCAGGGCAGATGGCAGGCAGCGTGTGTGGCGTCGTGTGGGTGAGTGGTTTTCTGATGTCAATGTTGTGAATCGAGTGGCCCGTGGTGGTGGTGGGGTTATGGTATGGGCAGGCGTATGTTATGGACGACGAACACAGGTGCATTTTATTGATGGCATTGTGAATGCACAGAGATACCGTGACGAGATCCTGAGGCCCATTGTTGTGCCATTCATCCACGGCCATCACCTCATGTTGCAGCATGATAATGCACGGCCCCATGTTGCAAGGATCTGTACACAATTCCTGGAGGCTGAAAACATCCCAGTTCTTGCATGGCCAGCATACTCACCGGACATGTCACCCATTGAGCATGTTTGGGATGCTCTGGATCGGCGTATACGACAGCGTGTTCCAGTTCCTGCCAATATCCAGCAACTTGGCACAGCCATTGAAGAGGAGTGAACCAACATTCCACAGGCCACAATCAACAACCTGATCAACTCTATGCGAAGGAGATGTGTTGCACTGCGTGAGGCAAATGGTGGTCACACCAGATACTGACTGGTTTTCGGACCCCCCCAGACCCCCCCAATAAAGCAAAACTGCACGTTTCAGAGTGGCCTTTTATTGTGGCCAGCCTAAGGCAATAATTATGCTGTCTAATCAGCATCTTGATATGCCACACCTGTGAGGTGGGATGGATTATCTCGGCAAAGGAGAAGTGCTCACTATCACAGATTTTTTCAGATTTGTGAACAATATTTGAGAAAAATGGTTATTTTGTGTATATAGAAAATGTTTTTAGATCTTTGAGTTCATCTCGTGAAAAATGGTAGCAAAAACAATAGTGTTTCATTTATATTTGTGTTCAGTGTACATTTAACCTTTTCCACAAAGACACAGTTAGCTTTCTCAGTGGAGTGGTGAGCACGAAAACCAAACTGCATTGGGTGGAGCGAAACCTTTGTCTAAATGTTTTGTGATTAGTTTAATAATAAAGGTATGCTTGCTCGCTCGCTCGCTCTCTGTCTCGCTCGCTCGCTCGCTCACAGACGCTGTGTGCTCCTCCGTGGCGATGGCAGCTTGCGTTAAAAAATAATAATAAACATATCTGTAAAGTGGGGGAAACAAGATTTCGAAAAGTGGGGGATTTGCTTGGTGAGTTACTTATTGAGGGCTTGCGATCGACGTGTTGGAGACCCCTGCCCTATACAGTAAATTAAAAAAGGAGGATTAGAATGATTTCCTCTTTAATTGTCACTCACATGAACACAACAGAGAAATATATTCCGTGCCCTTAACCCATCCTAGTACAAGGAGTTTGGCAGCTCTTACACAGCAACCGAGGACCAATATGGGCGATTGGTGCCTTGCTAAAGGGCATCTCAGCATTGCCCATTAGACTCTCAAAGTACCAGTCCACTCTCTGTTCTTTTGTTTTTACAGAAAAATAAAATCGTAAGTGTAGAGAACCCACTGCAGGTTGTCTCGTGCTGTTGTTACCAAAGCCTGTAATATTTCTGATGTTCCCTGCACTGAATCTGTGTTCACCCGTCTCGTGTTTCAGCAAAGGAAAGACCACATTACTGAAACACATCGCCAACAGAGCCCTCAGTATTCCCCCCAACATCGACGTGCTGCTGTGTGAACAGGGTGAGTTACCTCTATCATTCCTCTCCCCTCTGTCCATGTTGTAGTCTCCCACTGACTCTGTGTGTGTGTGTGTGTAGAGGTGATAGCTGACGACACGCCGGCGGTGCAGGCGGTGCTGAAGGCGGACACCAAGCGCCTGAAGCTCATGGAGGAGGAGAGGCAGCTGCAGGCTCTGCTGGAGAAGGGAGAGGACAGCGTGGCTGACAGGCTGGACAAGGTGAAAAAACTCACCTAGATCCTTCGCCTTGTGCGTTCTTATGGTGCTGTTTCATGCAGGCCTTATAAACGTGGAAAGATGTATAACTCTCCTGTCCACTTGTCATTAATCATTTTACAGTAATTAGTATAACGTTCATCTAACATATTATTGAACATTTAAAACATAAAAGTACTTTGGCTGATATTGCATTGGATGGAAAATGCTTAATAGCCACCATAACTTACATTACTTTCATTTGCGTTTTACGGTCTCAGTCGGTTGTTAACGTGAACGGTGCCTCACTTAAGAGGTTGCGGTCGCAAATAATTGTGCGACCGCATTATCTCCTCGGTGTTTCCTAAGCTTAAGGAGATAAAGGAAGCATTTAAGCTCCTTTCCTATCATCTAGATCAGTGGTTCCCAAACTTTTTGTGCCCAAGGCACACCAAAGGTCAAGTAAAAATCTCAAGGCACACCTATTGTGCAAAATAGCCCTTATAACACGTGTTATCACTCATATCATGTAAAATATCTGTAAATGTGCATAATTATTTACTAATGCCAAATAAAATGTGACAAAGACAACTATATTACTCATGACATATTTATTAACGAAATATTTCAGAAATTAATTTGAAACTTTATCAAATTAGGCTTCATCAAAGCAGCAACACACTCATTTAAACCAGACAGGTCACAAAATAAAAAATGAGGCAAAGGAAACTCAGCAGAAATTCAGCACAGAGAACTGTCAATGCAAGGAAGCTGCATTGTCCATGGTCCTAAACTACAAATTATAAATGTAACATTTCAGCAATCAGCATTGAAACATGTGCTATTGTAAATATTTTGCCGACTTACAAATGAGTGAGATACATGTTCCTGTCGGGGCGCTGAGGAGAGGGCCACTCGCAAGTCCTGTTCAACAGAGAGCCGTGACCTCCTGTTGTTCTTCATGTAAACCAGAGTAGAGAACGCCAACTCCAGAGATGGGGTCGTTACTTTACTTTGAGTCATTGATAAAGCGCTATAATAAATGTAAGGAATTATTATTATTATTATTGTTACTAAAAAAATGTAATATATTACTTTAAAAAAAGTAATATATTACACTACTTCGTTACTATCTACATAAAGTAACTCGTTACTTTACTCGCCGAGCACGTACGAACTGCGCATGCGTGAGTGGCAATAACTCTCCTTACCAGCAGGCGGCGGTAGTGTGTATTTGTCATTCAAAACAGGCAACAACCGGAAGACAGAGAAGAAGAACAGACGACGTGATATAAACAAACAACAAATAGCTGTGCGGTAGCTTCACCTTAGCATGTGTTCTTTGCAGGTGTTTGTTGAGGTTTGACCACGTGGTGTTTCCAGCAGTGGATAACAGCTTCTGGCCTGGACACAGTTTGCACCTCACCGTCACATTCCTGTCTATTCTTCGGACGAACTCAAAATAATGGGCATACCTCCACCCCTCGAGAGTTATCGCTGACTCAGCCATGTTTATGCAGCACTGCACGTGGAGATGTGGACGTGCAAGTCGCGCAGGTTATGTACATTTAAACCTACAAAGTACTGATATAGTAAATAAAAAAGTAATTATTTTTTTGTAGTTGTATATTGCAATAATAACGTATGGTTGTCACAAAATCCCACGGCACACCCGGACTTGCCTCGCGGCACACCGTTTGGGAACCACTGATCTAGAGAACTGTTAGAAAAATATCACTTGGCTTGGTCTTCAATATCAGGATACATGTATTTATTATTCTTGCAAGAATGGAAGTAGTCATCACATACAAAGCTGCGTGGGACAAATAGTTCCCCGAATAGTGTCCTTGACATGCTTATATACAAGAGAGTGTTGCAGTCACAAGATGCAGAATACCGGTTCAAAGCAGTATTCAATGTTTAGTTCAGATTAGCTAAGTCCTGCGTAAACAATAAACAATAAACATGACAGTCATATGCCTATCTCCATAGAGGCTGAATCATCATGTCAATCGTTGTCACATAGCCAGTGGCGTAACAAGGTTGTGATTGGCCCCGGTGCAAATATTGTTGTGAAGCTAGATGGCAATGATGATGGTGGTGAGGCAGGTGAGCTATTGTTAGCCTCCGGCTGCCGCTGCACATCAACATTGCTAACGTTAGCGCTCGATTTCGAGGACGATGTATGACAAAAGAAACTGTCTAAATTTGCCAGTTTATTAAATCAAGTTTTATTTATATAGCATATTTAAAAGCGATTTTTGGTCGAGCCAAAGTGCTGTACATGTAATAAAAACAGAAACAGAAAAATATAAAAAACAAAAACACAGGGAATAGTCAGGTGTCATACTCCACTCTGACTAGAAGGCCAGAGAGAAGAATTGTGTCTTTAGTGTAGACCTCACATGGAGGGGGCAGTGTTCCAGAGCCTAGGGCCAGCTGCTGGGAAGGCCCTCGGGGTTTTGAGCCTAGCTGTTGCATCTCCTTGTTCTCTCTTGTCCTTTCTCTTTTGAGCGCTGCTCTTGTGCTTTGGTTTGCTGTACATTATAAATGCAAGCTATTACATTTTTTATAATGCTACCGAACTTGCTGCTGCTAGCTACAGTACAGGTTGATTAAACGGTTTGTTTGTCACGCAAGGTATCACATGACATGAAAGGGAGCAAGGCCATTGGACAGACAAATTACACATTCATTTAGGTTGCTTGGTTACTTTGAAGACTGCGTGAACCGGTCAATGCCATTGGGGCTGCACCGTCGATAGATAAGCCATTGCACATAGCTATCATATGCCTAAAACAGGGTGTCCTGACGCTCTTCTAGGTAATCATACATCCTGTTACGTACACAGCTACGTAGGGCCTTTGTTATCATATGCTACTCTGATATTAGAAGAGTACATTCAGTATTTTCCCAACAAGAACTCTAACGGAGCTAATCATGGCTGACACTGAGGTACTTCCCGCTCATACCCTCAGTTAGAAATCTTCCTGGGGACAAAAGACTCTTGCGACTGCAACCCTCTGGTTTCTCTGCTCTCCTCTGCAGGTCTATGAAGAGCTGAGGGCTATCGGAGCTGCAGCAGCGGAGCCCAAGGCCCGCAGAATCCTGGCCGGTCTGTCCTTCACCACCGAGATGCAGAACAGACCCACCAAGAGGTTCTCCGGAGGCTGGAGGATGAGAGTCTCCCTGGCCAGGTACAGCCCCACTAAAGTCATGGATGGAAGTGATCAGAAGTTCTGTTTCACTCACTGTTCACATGTGTTCCCACAGAGCCCTGTTCATGGAGCCCACCCTACTGATGCTGGACGAGCCCACCAACCACCTGGACCTGAACGCTGTCATCTGGCTCAACAAGTAAAGAGCCACTTTTAATCTCCCTCAAACCTTAGTGGTTAATATTGGTTGTTTTAAATCGGAAGGAATCATGTTGTTGGTCTGCAGCTAATCACATTGCTCTCTGGCCTCCCAGTGTGGGCCAGGTAGTGCCCACCCCTCACTGAGGATATTTAGTTATGTATATCTGGTTCTGAAAGGGGATATTATACAAGCATCGGGTGCTCCTTGGCTTCAGTCAGTGTAAAGATGAGTGTGTCAGAATCAGAATATTTTATTTATTATCATTTTGGGTGACGTGCTCCAGTTGAGAATTACAAAAATAAAATAATAAAAATATATATTTATTAGGGCTGTCAGTCGATTAAAATATTTAATCGCGATTAATCGCATGATTGTCCATAGTTAATCGCGATTAATCGCAAATTAATCGCACATTTTTGATCTGTTTTAAATGTACCTTAGAGGAATATTTTTCAAGTTTTTAATACTCTTATCAACATATAAGTGGACAAATATGCTTTATGCTAATGTTTATTATCATTTGAACAATGACAAATATTCTCATGAATATTAAACACAACAACTTCTGAACATTACAAATATTCGCCTCAATTCAACCTGGAACCTAATACAATAAAAATGGTGTGTGTGTGTGTGTGTGTGTGTGTGTGTGTGTGAGATGGATCGTTGGAGCTATGTGCAACTCAAGGCATATGCTCGAACGGGAGCTGCCTGGACGCTGCAATCATGTTGCACTATCCGTGCTGAGTGTGCTGACTTCTCGTACAATGTCCCACTGTCTGGCTTCCTGCATAAAGTCAAGTTCTCGGCGCAGTTGTCGGCGAAATGTCGCTCCTCTGTTTTCATTTAAGCAGCTCCTTATATCTGTTAGCGCAGCTAGCTAGCACCAGATGCTAACAACAACAATGCACGTAAGGTCTCTCTCTCGCTCGCTCGGGCCACACATACACACACCCTCCCGGTCCTCCCAATAGCCAGTCGGTGCCTGCCGGTGAGCGTGGAAGTGTGGTCTGCCACAAGCGGGCGGCAGGAGCGGGGCTGTCAGCATCAGCTTGTAGATGGTATTTTAAACTCGATGCGCTCTGAAACTACGGGGCGGCCGAGGAAAAAAAAATACACATGCGTTAATCGCGTTAAAATAATTAGTGGCGTTAATTTTTTTTTTGCGTTAACACGTTAACGCGTTAACTTGACAGCCCTAATATTTATACAAACACTATAAGATTTAGTATGAATGGATGGATGGATAAATAAATACAATTATGAATAAATACAAGATTTATGTTGACATAAGCATTCAATAATATAATAAAGGTCTAAAAGATTAAATAAATTAAAATCAAAATAGTTTAAGTAAAAATGTGCACATTGTACTATAATAATATAATTTATATACATTTGAATAAGATCCATCTTGCTTGGAACTGTGTAGACTAGCCTTCATGGCACTTTTGGTTGGTTTACTTGGTTTATAAAAAGAAAGGCTTGAGGCCCACCGTGGTAACCTATAGCAACCAAACAAACAGCCTGACCACCGACTAATAAGATAACTGGTAAACTAAGTTTTTGTTCCTACAGAATACATGCATGGTTAAATGACTGAATTGACCTTAAAGTGATAAGTAATACAGAGAAATACACGTTTTGTATATCTCCTGACAGGACAGTAAAGAGAGCTGTTCTACTCCTGTTCCATCACTGCAGCTCAGAATAACACAAGCCCAGCTTGTGCGATCATTTGAAATAAAAAGCTGTATACATGATGTGTGCATCATTGGATCAAAAAAAAGAAATTCAAAATATTATATATTGTTTTTACTTCATTATATAAATGCTTTATTCAAATGATTGTCTCTCTTCCACAGCTACCTTCAAGGCTGGAAGAAGACCCTCCTCATAGTTTCCCACGACCAGAGTTTCCTTGACGAAGTGTGTACGGATATCATCCACTTAGACTACCAGAAGCTCTTCTACTACAGAGGGAACTACTGTAAGTATTTTTTTTAGATCTATTTAGATGCAAAACATTTCTTTATTGTTTTTCCTCACGATATTTCATCCAAAGATATTAACAAAAATCTAACCTTTAATTGAGGCAACATAATTGAAAGAAACATTACATTCTTATCATGACACAAATATTTTAATTTAGCTAGTGGAGCCTCACAGATGGGGGTGCTGCAGCCCCCTCAGCACCCCCCCCTTCCAGCGTCCATTCGCGATGTCTCGCAGACCCCACGCAGCAAGCAGGAAATGAACCCAGCTCACAACGTCCCGCCAACACGGCACCCAGACCCCACGCAGCATTCTCATCTGTTTGTCATTACCGGTGTCATTATCTGGTTGCTAATGCCATTGTAACACATAATCACTGATGTTCCGCTGTAACGGTGGTGGACTCATCAGAACAGAGTGGGCGAGCTGACCAATCAGAGCACAGTGGGCTCACAGGGAGGGGGGTGCAGGAGCTCCAACAAGCCGTTTAGGACAGAGAGTGAATACACATACTATACAGAGATGCTGTATGAGAAACCAATGTGAGTTCGGAACATTGAACAATGTAAATCTATTCTAGTAGACCTCAACAATGGAATTATGATCAGTAGAAATGGCCATGACATGGGGCCTTTAACACCTCCTGTTGCTTTAAAGGGAAATGGAAACACTTTTCAAACTGCTTTCCATGCGACAATATTCCCATTAGGAAATGTATTTATCTAGTCTATTTCCAATGTAAACGATCGAGATACGCAAATTTATTTTTTGAAATACTGACCTTGGGCGCTTCCATCGATCCGGGACTTTCCCAGTGACGTCACTGTGTGGGTACGGCTTCCTGGGCCAAAGCTCAATACAGCTGCAAACAACATGGCGTGCAATGCACCAGTGGTTTACAACAAAAGAAAACGTTCGTCGTCAGGAGCGTATTGTATTGCCCCAGGCTGCACAAATGGTTTTTATACAAAGAAGGAAGAAGTACATTTCCATAGGCTGCCACTAAAGGATGAGAAGCTGCTCAAAGCATGGGTTATTTCCATGAAACGGTCCGATCCGCCGCTGAATCAGTACGCACGTGTGTGCAGCGAACACTTTACAAATGACGATTATGTCCACAAAATGAGGTTTGATGAGTCTGGATGCCTGGTTCAATACAAAACATCGGATTTGAAGCCAGGATCTGTTCCCACAATATTCGATTTCTCATCGTATGCAGTCGGGAACACCGACCGTCCCAGCACGTCGGCCGCGCAAGACAATGACATCAGTGTCAACAAACGTGAAGTTCGAGCCACCAAACGAGCTGCTTCAGCTGCCGAGAGAGAGGTAAATATTGCAGCACTACCAGATTACTACTACTACTACTACTTTCCCGGGTCGCCGAGGGTGCTGGCGTTGTTTGTTCGCCGCTCCTCCGCCCCAAATATTGTTCTTTAGTCCAGATCAGAACCTCTCCTGTCTGGCTCTCTACTTTTGAAACGTCAGTCATCAGCAAAAATAGCAGCATCTCTATATAGAATCGACACAGATCTTTTTGTTGTCATCTCCTACCTGCTGGCTCTTTCCTGCTCACCGGTCCCTAGCCCGCTAGCTAGCAAGCATTATCGGACCTAGCAGGCTGCTACCTAGATGCTCCTCGGCTCCCTGAAGTCTGCTGAGCTAACATTTCTGTCTCCACCCCAACTCCATCCTAACTCCGCGGCTCGTGTGGGTCTTCCCATCCTGCTGCGATCAGCCGGCTTCCCCGCTGAAAATGAATATCCGGTATGGATACCCGGAGCGAGGACCCACACAGTGACGTCACCATTTGGGACTCCCCTAATGGCAGCGGCCTGGTCCCGGAATTCCCCACCCGGCCGGCAGATAATTAATTTTCTTTTGGCGAGTAATATCATATACAATAAATATTACGATCAATATCCATTGTAAAATGAATAAACTACCGGAATATCATAGCTGTAATGGTGTTTCCTTTCCCCTTTAAACTTCTTAATTATTGCCCTGATAGTGGAAATGGGTATTTTCACCTGTTTCAAGATTTTCTGAAATCCATTTCCTAATTTGTGCAGCTCAACAACTTTTCGTCGCAGATCATCACTATGTTCTTGGGTATTTCCCATAGTGATGAATGACAAAGAGAATTTTGGCCTGTGTCACCTCATATTAATACCCCAGTGAAACAGGAAGTCATGGTTGACCAATTAAGAGTTCCTAATCAAACAGGTGAACCTAAACATGTAAGATATGACTGGAAATATACTTCAGTTAGATTTTAATCATAGAATTTTCTAGTGGTGCCAATAATTGTGGCACACATGTTTGGGAGACAAATATTTATTTAAAGTCAACATTTTTTTTTTCTTCCATTTTTTTACTTCAGTGAAAATGTACGATTTTGAGTGAAATATGAAAAAAAAACAACAAAGAAATATTTTGCATCTTGTTTAGCTAATTTTTACTAAAGGGGTGCCAATAATTCTGGAGGGTATTGTGTTTAAGATAACATCACTCTTTACTTATCCCTTTTAAAACATAAGGGGTTCTTCTAGCTACTATTATTTATTTAGCAACTATTTTATATTCCTTTTTCAGTGACCTTCAAGAAGATGTATGTGCAGAAGCAGAAAGAGATGCAGAAACAGTATGACAAGCAGGAGAAGAAGCTCAAAGACCTGAAGTCTGGGGGCAAGTCCACGAAACAAGCTGTGAGTATCACTGTTCCCCCAGAATGCAGCTTTCTAAACATGGAAGCCAAACGGCATGATTTTACAGAGAAAAACAATCTTATGACGACTGGACAAAAGCTCTGTTCCTTCAACATTCCCCCATTCTAAATTGTCACATTAGTCTGTTTGCCAGTTTATAGAGTCCTACTGTGAACCCAGAAATGTTGAGTACTCCAAAGTTTTATGTTAGAAATGTATAGTAGTATCACATAAAAACTGCCGGATGATAACTTCCATATGTTGGGCAATTTGGACCATTAGCACAAGTTGAGTAAATTAGCATTAATTACCATTATAGCATATGTGGACAATAGTTAAAAAATAAAGAGTGGTTTTGGTGGTTATGAGGATGCAGAGTCAATTTCTGACAGTTTCAGTTTAAAAAATGTCAGTTTTTACCAGAAAGTGGCTGCATTTTTACTCTGTGGGATGATTTTAATACATTATGGGTCGATTTAGAAGATTTATGGGACTATGGATGTTTTGAATGGGAATTGTGCAAATTGCCAAACATATGCAGGTTATCATCCGGCAATTTCTATGCGCTGGGGACCCTACTATACATTACAAACATAAAACTTTGGGGTACTCAACATTTCCGGGTTCACAGTGCCAGGGGCGGATCTAGAAAAATATTCATGAGGTGGCAAGCGGGTGGCAGGAGAATATCAGGGGTGGCATCCCCTGGCAGAAGTATATGCTGATTTAATCGCAGTCATATGTTAATGTCAATGTTAAGTTGGAAAGCCACAATATTGATATTTTAACTTAATAACATTAGGTGACATTATTGTGGCACATCAGTAAAGCCTTAAATATAAATATATAAGGTGGCAGACATCATTTAATGAATTTTAACTGAACAATAACTGAATGAGTTTGTTTCACTCTTAGACCAGCAGGGGAACCAAATTTATGCAGACTGCTGCAATAAGTACATTAATGAACTGACTCATCGATGTTTGTCTGAATTAATATGATACTATTAACAATCATATAATTCCTATCAGCTGCCAATCACTGTTATGATTCACATATTCAGTGTTATTATTATATAAACTATATTTTTTGGAGGAGTTAATGATGAATGTTCCTCAAGATGCTTGCTCACCCTCCTTCAAATTTGAAAGACAAGTAATTACTATCATAAATCAAAAGAATCAAAGGAACAGTTCAGCGTATTTGCAATGTAATTACATACACGCTCCCCTTGACAGTGAAACGCCACGCGTGAGGTTTAGATTATTTCCCTGTCTCAATCCAAATGGAACTGTATGAAATAAAAAGGCACATTTGTCTTGTCGTAAATAAAAAGGGCGACCTGGAGCCAATCCTGCAACTTCCCCACAGGTGAAAGAGTTGACATGCTGAAAACCCAACCCCTGCAGGGGGGTCTGGGGGAGATTTTTTGAAATACTAACATAAAATACACATTCTGGTACTCTCTTGAGAAGAAAAATAAATAAATCTATTACTACACGACATATTTAAAAAAAAAAATGAATGCCATTTTAGTTTTTTGTTACTTTGTTCTGAAAGCTGAACCTGCTGCTCCTCACAGAGAGAAGAGGGAAGAGGCTGTGAATTACTTTACATTGTGGATAAGGGTGGATAGCTCCCATTGTTCTGTGTGTCAAAATGAAAGACAGCCCACACACCTATCAATCATCAAACCGTGGGGTCTTATTTCATTACGTGTTGATTTCTATCAACACATAATGTAGTATCGATGTATAGATGTACTACATTAAAAGTATTCTCCGTCGGGACTTCCTGCAACAACACCATGCCGTTATCTTGTTTCTGATTGGCCAGAAGGCATTATGTTCTCTTGAGAAGACGATCACTACGTGACAAAAGTTTTCAAAACCGTTTCGGTATTTCCTGACAAGTGGCTACTGAAATCAATCTTACTAACTGCTGTCTGTGCAATTTACTCCGCGAGTTGGCGGACTTTATTTAGCTTACTTTAACATCATTTTTCATGGTGGGCCTAAGCCATTTCTTGGTATGGCTGTAGCCTACCCCAGCCATACCCTGGCGCCCACGCTGCCCGCAAATACCTCATTCCTTCCATCTACTTGGATCCGAAATGCTTCTCGTTTTGCGCTGTCCCCCTGTTCAAATGAAACGTTCGCGCCAGGGCCGGGGGAGGGGTTGGCTCGCGTCTTGTGCTGCATTCACTTGCCAGTGCATGACATTAAGGATTTTGGCCCTGTGGGCCATCTAAGCTAATTTACAGATGGCCCTGAGCCCAATAGAGATTGCCCTGAAAAATGCGCGTGGACGAAATGATGCACGAAGGGTTTGGAGGCCCCTCCCCCTAGAAAATTTAGATTTTTGCATGTCTTAGATGCTGTCTGGTGCATTCTCTAGACTGAATTATAAGATGAACCACCACAATATTATATTGTTCAATTTTATTCTTCATTTCACTTCTTTGTTTGTTTGTGTTTGCTCGCTTGCATGCCCTGCATAGCTTTAAGAAATACTTAAGTTGTTGGTCAAGACACTTTCCATCTGATGAAGGCAAATGCCTTCCCAGATGTAAAAAAGTAGAAAACATTACATTCAGTTATAACTGCCAAAACAAACATTATTTACACTATTATGGCCCCTGTTAAAAATGTTGTAATGTTATCTACTGTAAATTGGTCCAACGAATGCTTCCTCATCCGGAAGCTGACCGAGCAGACCCGAGCAGCAGTCGAGAGGAGCCGAGCGCATCCGCGAAGCACACAAAATGGCGACGTCAGAGTTCCCGTTAGCCGGCAAATCTAAATCTCTTCGGTCAAAATAATTTCCCTTTAGCGCAATACCGCTTCAGTTGCGCCACTTATGTGACAGACAAGAAGAGTATGTGACAGACCAGAATAGTCAATTCTAATATCTAACACTTAATGTGGCGAAAGAGATGTCCTGTATGGGTTGATTGTGCGTTGATCTGTTGGTAATGCCTCGGGGTTCCGGTGGGCATGTAAACAAATGCATAATGCTGCGCTATACTTTGTGGCCTCACCCAGTTGCATAGCGACACTTATTGTTTAGGTGTCTTTTAACCTCTTAAGCCCCACGGACCCGAGCCCGAAAATGCTATATATGTAGCAACAGTGCTATATCTGAAGTGTCATTCATGAAACTATTAATATTCCATACCCATCTGACCGGAGGAAACTTGGCTAACTGACGATACGAAAAAAATGTTTTTCCAAAAATAAGTCTCACAAGAAGCCTCTAAATGAGCCCATGGCAAAAACGGGCAATTGCTATTTCTGCTCATAACTCACAAAAACGATCATTTATAATTCATACTTTCTGCACAATCACATTTTCTGAAAGCTGAGATTCCACAGATTCCATGGGTATACACCCCATCACTACAGGCACAACATTAACCGAGCTAGCAGCCAGAACATAGCAAGTAAACAATATCAGTTTTCAAATCCATGACAATAATTAGGTCTTACCTTGGCTGTTTTGTGATCAAAAGTTGTGTTCAAAGGAATAAAAACGCTGCTCAAGGTTAATCCAATGTCTCTTGTCACTTTAAAATGATTACTGATAATCAATCCTTTCATTCACGGCAGAAGAGTAGGTCCAACGATTAACAGTCCGTGGCTTCAGCTGCGGGAGATGCAGTTTACGCATAGCTCAGGCGTAACGTATTTACGTATTTTGAAACTGCCACTCGATTCGATTGGCTCTAACGATTCAAAAAAGGTGTCAATCACCCAAATCGGCCAATGGGTTCCAGAGATAGGATCTTGCGTAAGTATAAGTAAAGGCAGTATAGCTGGTTTACGCACGGCCCACTCTTTTTACGCAGCATAGCATAGCATGTCCCGCGGCGACAGGAGAGCAGAGAACGGCAGATCGATCAGCGAAACAGCAGTATTTGTTTTCTTTGTCTTCATTGTAACAATGGCAGCCAGAAAGAAGACTTTTTTTGTCCGTCGAGGAGGCATTGGACATCGTATTTCAGGACTCTCCGTCGGAAGATAGTGATCTCGTCACGCATAAAGGGGACAGTAATGACTCTGATTATGAACCTCCGTCACCGGAAAGGTATGTAATCTCTCTGTTTGTATCTATTACTTATTTATTTGGTGTAAGAGTATTCATCTGTTTTTATCTTTTTGTTATTTATTTGGTGTAAGAGTGTATTCATCTATAGTAATTTCACACACGTGACAATAACACGACGGCATCCGTCTTGTGATATAATGTTCTTTCACACACTCAACAACAAACAAAGAAGATGGATGCCGTTTCTTGTTCTTGTTGTTGAAATAAACAAGACATATACATGTTGAATTTAACACGGTATTACATTTCATTTAGCTGACGCTTTTATCCAAAGCGACTTACAATTATTACTTATATTATATATATATTAGTGCTGTCAAAATTATCGCGTTAACGGCGGTAATACATTTTTTGAATTAATTGCGTTAAAATATTTAACTATTTAACGCATGTGCAGAATGGCCCGCCCCATACGTGCCACCAGTGGCAGCGCCAGGGTATGGCTGGGGTAGGCTACACCCATACCAAGAAATGGCTTAGCCCCACCATGAAAAATGATGTTAAAGGAAGCAAAATAAAGTCCGCCAACTCGCGGAGTAAATTGCACTGACAGCAGTTAGTAAGATTGATTTCAGTAGCCACGGTTTTGAAAACTTTTGTCACGTAGTGATCGACTTCTCAATAGAACATCTTTGATAACGGCGTGGTGTTGTTGCAGGAAGTCCCGACGGAGAATACTTTTGCTGTAGTACAGGGGTGCACATAACTGGTACGCAGGTTATGTGCGTAATCTGAAATGCATACCGTCACTTGTGTCACAAAGCGCATTTGCGTACCGACGTACTTGTGAAGCTTTTCCAGAAGGCGGTTAGATCATCACCGTGTGCACAGACAGGGCTGCTGTTAACGTCGGTCTGTACAACGGAATATTTTGGACATAATTCGAATGGTGATTAATCATGATTAATTCATTTTTAAGCTGTGATTAATCTGATTAAAAATGTTAATCGTTTGACAGCCCTAATATATACACACATGCATACATAATATGTATATGCTGAGTGTGCTGACTTTTCGTACAATGTCCCACTGTCTGGCTTCCTGCATAAAGTCAAGTGCTCGGCGCAGTTGTCGGCGAAATGCCGCTCCTCTGTTTTCATTTAAACAGCTCCTTATATCCGTTAGCGCAGCTAGCTAGCACCAGATGCTAACAACAACAACAACAACAATACACGTAAGGTCTCTCTCTCGCGCCACACATAAACACACCCTCCCGGTCCTCCCGATGGCCAGTCGGTGCCTGCCGGTGAGCGTGGAAGTGTGGTCTGCCGCAAGCGGACGGCAGTAGCGGGGCTGTCAGCATCAGCGGGGCTGTCAGCATCAGCTTGTAGATGGTATTTTAAACTCGATGCGCTCTGAAACTACGGGGCGGCCGAGGAAAAAAAATACACATGCGTTAATCGCGTTAAAATAATTAGTGGCGTTAATTTTTTTTGCGTTAACGCGTTATTAACGCTTTAACTTGACATCACTAATAAATATATGACAGACGGAATATTATTAAATATTGAAAAGATTATATGAACCCCGTCTCACATAATTTACACGGTATACATTTTGAGTGATATAATGTTATTTCACACACTCAAAATTGATGTTCTGCTGTTGTTGTAGAGAAATTATTTCTGATTTGAGTTACATTTTTGAAAGTACAAGCCAGAGAATTAATCTATTTGTTTTTTCCACATTTGTTTTCACAGTGAGGAAGGCGATGAGGATATGGCTTCTGGATGCCCGAGTATTATGGGGAAGATGCCACCAAGGTCAGGAGGTACTGCAGGAGGTGCTCTGATGCTGGCAACTGTGTACTGCAGGAAGTGTCAGGTCCCTCTGTGCTTCACTACCAAAAAGAACTGTTACAGGGCATGGCATGACTTACTGGAGTAATACTGTAACATTCAGGGTTTGTATAAATTATTTTTTTTTTTACCCAAAAAATGCTTGTTGCTAATTTTTTTAAATAAATCTGCTCCAGTTGGAGTCAAATGTTTCCTAAGTTTCCTAATTTTTATTGTGCAAGTAACATGCATCTCATGCAAAGAGGGAACTTCCCACACACTTCACACACACACACACACACACACACACACACACACACACACACACACACACACACACACACACACACACACACACACACACACACACACACACACACACACACACACACACACACACACACACACACCCAATTAAAAATAAAAAAAATTACAATTTTTTTTTTTTTTTTTATGGAATGAATACCTACAGTGATAATTAAATGTTATACAATGATTTTTACAGTCTGGTACCTGAAAAAGGTTAAATGGCACTGATGGAACCAAATGTACCAAAATGTGCCCAAACCTTAGTCCGCTTGGACTTTTTTTTGCTAAATCTCTCTCAAAAGGTCAATTCTCACTTGTTTTGCCTCAATCTTGATACAGGGTACTTATTATATGTTATACTTTGGATCCCTAAAGCTTTTAGGCTACTAGCCCATCATTCAAGGGTGGTTTTCACTATAAGTAATGGGTTTTATTTGAGCGGAGACAACAATTTACACTTTTTGACTATGTTCCATCTGGATTTACTCTGACACTGAAACATCTTTATTGATTCTGATACTTCTACATCCAACTCACAGATGTGACCTTGCTTTGATAAAAGAAATTATTCATATAACCCTTTTAGAAGTTAAGTTATAGTCCTTTGTTTTGGGCATGTCATTTTCGAGCCTGAAACCTGAAAAACAGGCTTGGGGCTTAAGAGGTTAATAAGCAGGTAGTCCTATCATTAGCTAGAACTAGCTGGATCTGATCGATATGGACATAAACGCGAGTGAAGTCTAATCTGACGAGAGAGAGAGATCAGCTGCTGCTGACGAGTCGACACGCAGCTCTGCATGATCACATGCAGCGGTGAGCGGACAAAACACACACTTCAGGTTAGAATATCACACGTAGCTATTTTAATTACCTCTCAAACTACCTAAACTAGTTATAGATATGTTTAGTTTTACTGTCGGGTCACTCATTACTGGATCCGCGAGCTGCATGATACTGGCATAATAGATTGCCCGATCGGGCAACCAGCAGGTGAGGCTTCATTGCCCGAGCTAAATACTAGATGGCCCCGGGCCATCGGGCAGTCGTTAATGTCGAGCCCTGCTTGCACTCGGACATTAGAGATTTTCTCTCATAAATGTCCGATGAGCCACAACTTTTCTTTCAAAACAAAGCTGCCAACTAGGGTGGCAAGGCATTTTTCTGAGGTGGCAGCTGCCACCCCATGCCACCCCGTAGAACCGCCACTGCACAGTGCTGGAAACTAGACTATAAGCTTTACGACTTTGGCAAACGTACAGCATAAAACTCTGGAGTTATAGGATATGGCGTCACGCTTTGCCATCCTCAGTTGGCCGCAGTGATTAACCCTTCTGTTCTGTCTTGTGTCTCCTCTCAGGAGAAGCAAACGAAGGAGGCGTTGACCAGGAAGCAGCAGAAGGGCAAGAAGAAGGGCCCTCAGGAGGAGGAGAGCCAGGACGCCACAGAACTGCTGAAGAGGCCCAAAGAGTACACCGTCAAGTTCACTTTCCCCAACCCCCCGCCCCTCTCTCCACCCATCCTGGGACTTCACTGTAAGAACTGGAACTCGATGCTCACAACCAGGCGTCGCAGTGACCCTATTGAACATTTCTAATAAATAATGACGGAAAAATCTTAAAGCAATTTGTTGTTATGAAGAATTAGAACTCTGAATAAGGGCGATCTGCTGTAGCTTTCAAATGATTCACAGTGTGACGATCTGAACTGCATGCTGCAGTATCCCGTGTTGCGAGGTTTTCTTGTAAACTTCTGATCACCTCCCTGGGAAACATGTTTCCCAACTCCAAATTGTATCTGATGCGGAGTTGCTTATTCAGTCTCCACAGTGTCAGCTGAGCGCCGTAGGTTGAGCCGTCAGAACAACATTAACACGGCCCCGAGAAATATGTCTGTCCACGGCAAAGACACAGAAACCAATTTAGTAAAATACATTTTGTTTAAGCTGCACTGTTTTTAAAGGCCTTTCTCAAATATTTTATTTGCTTTGTGTGTTGACATGAAAACTGAGAGCACAGTCTCTGTTCATCTTTATTCTCTATGCATGTATACATTTATCATCTCAAAGCTTGGCTGTATATTAACGATCATTTTGAAACTTCTTCAGCCTCTTCCTTTAGATTCAGAAAGTGGTTCAACATTCTGACTCCATGCTCTTTCCTCTTTACAGGTGTTGACTTCGGCTATGAAAATAAGCCTCTCTTCAAAAATGTGGACTTTGGAATCGACATGGAGTCCAGGAGTAAGTTTCCTGCTTTATTTAACGGTTAACCTTTAAATGCTTTCTGGATCCTTGGGGATACAGTGATTTGAGTGAAATGGGTGTAATAACAGTGTAATTATGGTGTAATAAGGGTGTAATGTTGGTGTTACTTGGGTGAAATATGGTTCTAATAACATGTAATATAGGTGAAATAACAGTTTAACATGGGTGTAATTAGGCCTGTCACGATAATTAATTTTGTTGGATGATACATTTTTCTGGAAATTATTGCGATAAACGATAATATTGTCGGCACCGTTGTAAGACCATTTTAGACCACTGACATAATGATCATATATAATAATAATTCAAGTACATCCTTTCAAACAGAACTTTGTTTTGAACATTGCAAATGAAATGTGAAATAATATTCAAATATATAAATTATATATAATAAATAAAACAGAGAAAAGAGCCCTCTCTCTCTCTCTCTCTCTCTCTCTCTCTCTCTCTCTCTCGCTCTCCCGCTCTCGCTCTCGCTCTCGCTCTCGCTCTCTCTCTCTCGGGCAAATGCATCGTTGATTGTAAACTGTCAGGAAGGTGGGGGCTCTCCATCTCCAGCTGCCGTGTTTGCTCCCAGCTGGGAAAATGGTATGGGGTGGTTGTGTTTTAGGTGTAGTTTAAAATGCGTGGTATTGCCTGCTTTTGTCGCTACCTTTTTTAACCAAATGCGACACACCGCCCGGGTCATTGAAGGCCGTAGGTTCGCCTCGTTGATTTGGCTTGAATCCAAATACTGCCACACCGGAGAATCGAGATGTGTAGTTAGGTTTTGTATCCAATTCCATTTCACTTTAAATTCCCCGCGAGTAAGGTCACAACGTTGTCTCCCGCTTGTCGCTATATTATTAATTTGGCTGCTGCACGTGCACGCGGAGTGTCCTGACCATAGACTGTATATATAAAGGTATGGTATGTATAAAGGTAATATAGTATAATAACAGTATATTATGGGTATAATATTGGCGTTACATGGGTGTAATATTGGTGTAATAATAGCGTAATAATGTAGCAAATAGTAATCAAGTAAATATTTAAATGTGATTGCCAATTTAAGGGTTAAGAACACCAAAACATGTGAAGGAGGTCTACAATACAAATAAAAAAAGTTCAGTTTGCATTTTAACATAATTAAACATGGAAGTAGGTTAGTATTTTCTTAATGTGGAGATTATGGCAGAGAAGCAAAATCTTCACCATCATAGACGAGTTAATCTTCCAGTCTCCTCATGCTGTGGTGCGTTCAGGGTGCTGATACTTCACTTCCCTTTCTTCTGCTCCCATCAGTCTGTATAGTGGGACCCAATGGTGTGGGGAAGAGTACCCTGCTGCTGCTGCTCACTGGGAAGCTGCAGCCTGTAAGTGTAGAGACGCTGACATTTGAATATTACTGAGATATCTGTGCTCCTGAGCTAACGGATGATCTGTGTTTCAGACCAAAGGAGAGATGAGGAAGAACCATCGCTTGGTGAGTAACTTCCTGTTGATCTCTGACTCTGTAAACTGTTGGCAATCTGCTCATCAGGGTTGGGAGGGTAACTTTAAATATGTTCCGTTAATATTAATAGACAATAAGCGTCCCTCTCGATGTGGCTTTTATATTGTGATAGATACATCTATCACAATATAAAAGTAATCCAACCTGATTCATTTGCGGTAATTTAGGATTACCTCGATATCAAAATTCCACGCAAAGTAAGAGAAATCAAGGGTTTTACTTTAGTGTATGATGTGAACTATGTGACCTTAGTAAAGAAGAAACCAAGATATTTAGGATCAGAAATGTGTCTTTGCAAATTATAGGCTAGGCCTGCAAAATAGTTTAGTTTACAAATGCTGTTTTAGTTTAACACATGAATTCAAATCAAACACAATATTTTAGTTTTATAAAGCAGCTGTTCACCTATTGTTGGTAAAGAAAGAATGTTTAATAAAGAGAATGAAAGTAGCCTAAATGAAAACCAAAAAGAAAGCACACGCAGTACATCTACCTATAATATGGACCTTTTTATTTGATCTTAAAAGGTATTGTAACATTGTTATCCTGCTATTAATCCCCATTTCTAACAATGTAACAGTGATCCGGTTACGCCTTTTTTTTTATGTAACTGTAAGTGTGGGGGAAACTTCTGAAGCAATGGGAGTCAGGACTCAGAGAGACACGAGGAGAGCTGGAGCTCTGATGGAGTCAGGACTCAGAGAGACACGAGGAGAACTGGAGCTTTGATGGAGTCAGGACTCAGAGAGACACGAGGAGAGCTGGAGCTCTGATGGAGTCAGGACTCAGAGAGACACGAGGAGAGCTGGAGCTTTGATGGAGTCAGGACTCAGAGAGACACGAGGAGAACTGGAGCTTTGATGGAGTCAGGACTCAGAGAGACACGAGGAGAGCTGGAGCTCTGATGGAGTCAGAACTCAAAAAGACACGAGGAGAGCTGGAGCTTTGATGGAGTCAGGACTCAGAGAGACACGAGGAGAACTGGAGCTTTGATGGAGTCAGGACTCAGAGAGACACGAGGAGAGCTGGAGCTCTGATGGAGTCAGGACTCAGAGAGACACGAGGAGAACTGGAGCTTTGATGGAGTCAGGACTCAGAGAGACACGAGGAGAGCTGGAGCTTTGATGGAGTCAGGACTCAGAGAGACACGAGGAGAACTGGAGCTTTGATGGAGTCAGGACTCAGAGAGACACGAGGAGAGCTGGAGCTTTGATGGAGTCAGGACTCAGAGAGACACGAGGAGAACTGGAGCTTTGATGGAGTCAGGACTCAAAGAGACACGAGGAGAGCTGGAGCTTTGATGGAGTCAGGACTCAGAGAGACACGAGGAGAGCTGGAGCTTTGATGGAGTCAGGACTCAAAGAGACACGAGGAGAGCTGGAGCTCTGATGGAGTCAGGACTCAGAGAGACACGAGGAGAGCTGGAGCTTTGATGGAGTCAGGACTCAGAGAGAGACACGAGGAGAGCTGGAGCTCTGATGGAGTCAGGACTCAGAGAGACACGAGGAGAGCTGGAGCTTTGATGGAGTCAGGACTCAGAGAGAGACACGAGGAGAGCTGGAGCTCTGATGGAGTCAGGACTCAGAGAGACACGAGGAGAGCTGGAGCTTTGATGGAGTCAGGACTCAGAGAGACACGAGGAGAGCTGGAGCTTTGATGGAGTCAGGACTCAGAGAGACACGAGGAGAGCTGGAGCTCTGATGGAGTCAGGACTCAAAGGGACACGAGGAGAGCTGGAGCTCTGATGGAGTCAGGACTCAGAGATACACGAGGAGAGCTGGAGCTCTGATGGAGTCAGGACTCAGAGAGACACGAGGAGAGCTGGAGCTTTGATGGAGTCAGGACTCAGAGAGACACGAGGAGAGCTGGAGCTTTGATGGAGTCAGGACTCAGAGAGACACGAGGAGAGCTGGAGCTTTGATGGAGTCAGGACTCAGAGAGACACGAGGAGAGCTGGAGCTCTGATGGAGTCAGGACTCAAAGGGACACGAGGAGAGCTGGAGCTCTGATGGAGTCAGGACTCAGAGAGACACGAGGAGAGCTGGAGCTCTGATGGAGTCAGGACTCAGAGAGACACGAGGAGAGCTGGAGCTTCGATGGAGTCAGGACTCAGAGAGACACGAGGAGAGCTGCAGCTTTGATGGAGTCAGGACTCAGAGAGACACGAGGAGAGCTGGAGCTCTGATGGAGTCAGGACTCAGAGAGACACGAGGAGAGCCGGAGCTCTGATGGAGTCAGGACTCAAAGAGACACGAGGAGAGCTGGAGCTTTGATGGAGTCAGGACTCAGAGAGACACGAGGAGAGCTGGAGCTTTGATGGAGTCAGGACTCAGAGAGACACAAGGAGAGCTGGAGCTCTGATGGAGTCAGGACTCAGAGACACAAGGAGAGCTGGAGCTCTGATGGAGTCAGGACTCAGAGAGACACGAGGAGAGCTGGAGCTTTGATGGAGTCAGGACTCAGAGAGACACGAGGAGAGCTGCAGCTTTGATGGAGTCAGGACTCAGAGAGACACGAGGAGAGCTGGAGCTCTGATGGAGTCAGGACTCAGAGAGACACGAGGAGAGCCGGAGCTCTGATGGAGTCAGGACTCAAAGAGACACGAGGAGAGCTGGAGCTCTGATGGAGTCAGGACTCAAAGAGACACGAGGAGAGCTGGAGCTTTGATGGAGTCAGGACTCAGAGAGACACGAGGAGAGCTGGAGCTTTGATGGAGTCAGGACTAAGAGAGACACGAGGAGAGCTGTAGCTCTGATGGAGTCAGGACTCAGAGAGACACGAGGAGAGCTGTAGCTCTGATGGAGTCAGGACTCAAAGAGACACGAGGAGAGCTGGAGCTTTGATGGAGTCAGGACTCAGAGAGACACGAGGAGAGCTGGAGCTCTGATGGAGTCAGGACTCAGAGAGACACGAGGAGAGCTGGAGCTCTGATGGAGTCAGGACTCAGAGAGAGACACGAGGAGAGCTGGAGCTCTGATGGAGTCAGGGCTCAAAGAGACACGAGGAGAGCTGGAGCTCTGATGGAGTCAGGACTCAGAGACACGAGGAGAGCTGGAGCTTTGATGGAGTCAGGACTCAAAGAGACACGAGGAGAGCTGGAGCTCTGATGGAGTCAGGACTCAGAGAGACACGAGGAGAGCTGGAGCTCTGATGGAGTCAGGACTCAGAGAGACACGAGGAGAGCTGGAGCTCTGATGGAGTCAGGACTCAGAGAGACACGAGGAGAGCTGGAGCTTTGATGGAGTCAGGACTCAAAGAGACACGAGGAGAGCTGGAGCTTTGATGGAGTCAGGACTCAGAGAGAGACACGAGGAGAGCTGGAGCTCTGAAGGAGTCAGGACTCAAAGAGACACGAGGAGAGCTGGAGCTTTGATGGAGTCAGGACTCAGAGAGACACGAGGAGAGCCGGAGCTTTGATGGAGTCAGAACTCAAAGAGAGACACGAGGAGAGCTGGAGCTTTGATGGAGTCAGGACTCAGAGAGACACGAGGAGAGCTGGAGCTCTGATGGAGTCAGGACTCAGAGAGACACGAGGAGAGCCGGAGCTCTGAAGGAGTCAGGACTCAAAGAGACACGAGGAGAGCTGGAGCTTTGATGGAGTCAGGACTCAGAGAGACACGAGGAGAGCTGCAGCTTTGATGGAGTCAGGACTCAGAGAGACACGAGGAGAACTGGAGCTTTGATGGAGTCAGGACTCAGAGAGACACGAGGAGAGCTGGAGCTTTGATGGAGTCAGGACTCAGAGAGAGACACGAGGAGAGCTGCAGCTTTGATGGAGTCAGGACTCAGAGAGACACGAGGAGAGCTGGAGCTTTGATGGAGTCAGGACTCAGAGAGAGACACGAGGAGAGCTGGAGCTCTGATGGAGTCAGGACTCAGAGAGACACGAGGAGAACTGGAGCTTTGATGGAGTCAGGACTCAGAGAGACACAAGGAGAGCTGGAGCTTTGATGGAGTCAGGACTCAGAGAGACACGAGGAGAACTGGAGCTTTGATGGAGTCAGGACTCAGAGAGACACGAGGAGAGCTGGAGCTTTGATGGAGTCAGGACTCAGAGAGAGACACGAGGAGAGCTGCAGCTCTGATGGAGTCAGGACTCAGAGAGACACGAGGAGAGCTACAGCTCTGATGGAGTCAGGACTCAGAGAGACACGAGGAGAACTGGAGCTCTGATGGAGTCAGGACTCAGAGAGCTGGAGCTTTGATGGAGTCAGGACTCAGAGAGCTGGAGCTTTGATGGAGTCAGGACTCAGAGAGACACGAGGAGAGCTACAGCTCTGATGGAGTCAGGACTCAGAGAGACACGAGGAGAGCTGGAGCTTTGATGGAGTCAGGACTCAGAGAGACACGAGGAGAGCTGGAGCTCTGATGGAGTCAGGACTCAGAGAGACACGAGGAGAACTGGAGCTTTGATGGAGTCAGGACTCAGAGAGACACGAGGAGAGCTGGAGCTTTGATGGAGTCAGGACTCAGAGAGACGAGGAGAGCTGGAGCTTTGATGGAGTCAGGACTCAAAGAGACACGAGGAGAGCTGGAGCTCTGATGGAGTCAGGACTCAAAGAGACACGAGGAGAGCTGGAGCTCTGATGGAGTCAGGACTCAAAGAGACACGAGGAGAGCTGGAGCTCTGATGGAGTCAGGACTCAGAGAGACACGAGGAGAGCTGGAGCTTTGATGGAGTCAGGACTCAGAGAGACGAGGAGAGCTGGAGCTTTGATGGAGTCAGGACTCAAAGAGACACGAGGAGAGCTGGAGCTCTGATGGAGTCAGGACTCAGAGAGACACGAGGAGAGCTGGAGCTTTGATGGAGTCAGGACTCAGAGAGACACGAGGAGAGCTGGAGCTTTGATGGAGTCAGGACTCAGAGAGACACGAGGAGAACTGGAGCTTTGATGGAGTCAGGACTCAGAGAGACACGAGGAGAGCTGGAGCTCTGATGGAGTCAGGACTCAGAGAGACACGAGGAGAGC